GACATCTCGCTCCCAGATACGGTAAATAATGCATTTTCATAATTTTGTACAAAGCATAGGTTTCAAGATTTTGAAACTCACATTATCTAGTCATGAATTTGCTTATTTACCCTAATGTAGATACTTCAATTAATGAAGCTATAATACAATTTTAAATATTGAGTTTCCCTAAGGGAATAAAGCATACTGCTGATGGCCTCCAAAAAGATGTATGTAAGAAAGTAAGTACATATATCAAAACAGTATGCCTTTACGTAGAATGATCCAGCTTTCTTCTGTAGAGATGGCAATAATAATATCAAGATCAGTGGACAACAGAAAGATTTCAATAGAAGGTTTTAGCAGTAGTAGCACTTGTAACACATGGATTGAACAAAATTAACTAGCTTTTAATTTATTACATCACCAGTTATTATTAATGCATATATTTTCAAACACTTTTCATGGAGATTCTTCTGATTTACAAAAACCAGTAACAGAAATACCAACTTTTCTAGAAATGGGGGAAAAAAAACCTGTATATTTTCCTAATTAAAAAAAGAATGACTCTGGTAAAAAAAGAAACATGAATTTGCTGTTACTAACTTTACATGTCAGCGTAAAGGTCTAGATTTGTCTATAATTAGATTTTGGAGTAAGTTCCCTTTCATGAAACCTCTTTTACTTAAAAGGAATCAGGTCATATTTTTACAAAGACAGTAAGAATACCTGTGACAGATTTATTCAAATTCTCCATTGTTCCATTAAAATGTGCCCTTTTGTCATCCTACAGCTAATGCTGCATAACAAAGAATGGCCATGATTACTATTACTGGCAATAAGTCATATTAGTGATATTCAGAATGGAGATAATATACATTTCATTCATTCATTCATGCACTCATTCATTCATTACTTAGGGCTTGTGGTAGGTATTAGGATAGGAGTTGAGGTCAGAATTTATAAGGCACAAGTCCATGCTCCAGATTTTCAGACTGGTAGGAGAGATGAAACATAATTAAGTAACTATTACTGGTATCAGAAAAGAGAACAAAATATAATTAAGAGAAGGAATGTGAATAAATCTAGTCCTTAACCCAGTGCATTTATAAAACTATAGAAAATATTAAAAATGCACCTTTCAGGAGTATCCAAGTGGCATTCAAAAACTGACTTGCAGGGGCCAGCCGACTCGCACATTGGTTAAGAGCTGGCTTGGGACGCCAGAGGGCCCTGGTTCGGATCCCACATATGAGGGCCAGTGACACTGCCCTCNCCACATATGAGGGCCAGTGACACTGCCCTCCACAGCTAAGATGCTGAACAACAGCTCAACCTGGAGCTGGGCTGCCCTGAGTCACCAGCAACGGCAGGTGGGTTGCCATGGGCTACTGTGTGTAGCCAGCAGCCGCAGTGAGCGGCCAGCCTGCGACTGATCTGTCTCCACCTGGGAAGAGCGCAATGATGGTGCCAACTTGGGCCAGTGAAGCAACGTTCTCCACAACTAGATTGAAGACCAAAACGACAGCAGCTTGTCTGTTCCCCTTCCCCAATTCCCCAGCGCTGTTCCCATCCCCCCAATTTCCCAATAAAAATCTTTAAAAAAAAAAAACTGACTTGCAACTGAAAACAGCAGAATTTATAAATTAAGTAGTTGTTAAAATGGCCACATCAAACTCAACCTTTCAATTCTGTCCTTCATTTAATTTGGAATTCTGCTTTCCTTTCTGTCCAACATAATTATTTTTAAGGACTGATTGGGAAAATAGTCTTGTCCTGGGTTAATTACATCAGTTTTCTTTTAAGATTTAAAAAGACATATTGTTTTCAAATATACACCATTTTTCTGATTATAAAAGTAACATGTTCATTATACAAATCCCAGACAAAAAAAGAGGCCAAAAATTCAATTCATCCCTAGTGCCTCCATCCGGAGACAAAATTGTTCATTTTAAGGCAAATTAAAAAATAGATAAAATTTAATAAATGTATAATGAATATTCTACACTTAATTCAAGGGAAAGAAATCTGTCCTCACGACTGTGTTTTTGAAGATCTAACAGATGCATACTTGACATACAGTATCACGAAAAATCTGAGTGTAATGCTGTGAATAAGAGGAGTTGTAAACTAACGCGGTACCACCACAATGTTGTACAACTGCTAAATTATAAAATTATACTCGAACAAAATTTTTAAATGGCTCAAAATCCTAAAGTAGAAACGTTAGTGTATAAAAAGTACAGAGTATCCAAAAATTATTACTCTGGACGACTGGGCTTTACAGGAAAAGCAATAAACATTACAGAGATGGCGTCCCAGCAGGATGGCACAGAGCAGAGGTTCCCTTAGTGTCTCAATGACTTTTCGTGGTGCTCCAAGACCAACAGAAATAGCTAACAATTCTGTTAATTACATAGTTAGGGCCACACAATTTAATAAATATATATGTCCTAATAGTTTAGTAGCTTTAAAAAAAATAATACCCGTATATTGAAAGAAACACATTTTTATTTCATTCTTAAATAACCACAATTACTTAGTAATGGATGTGCACCTGACGGGCACTGCACAACTTCTCTCTCAAATCTTGGAATCAGACCACCATCCTCATTTCCTGTTCCACACTGATTTTTGTGTGGTATTTGCTTTTTATCACAGCAACCACGGAAAACCTAACTGGGTGAAGACAGGACGTCATCAAAAAGAATATAGCAGGATCTAATGCTGAAAGTGGGAAGTTCTCACACAGTATCTAATAGATGTGGAATATCCATTTCCTTTGGAAATTTAAAACAACCTGTTTTGCCCTTGTGAGTTTGCTGTGGCACTCCAGGGCGGCTGGCTTGGTACAGTTTGGTAATCATGGGTATAGGGCAATTTTATCCCCTTATCCTAATATTATTACTGTAAAAGTGACAGGAACTCCCAAATAAATGGGTGTCTTGGAAAGATTTGACAACTCTGATGTGTAAACTGCTGGTCCTTTTATTACAGAGAGCAAAAGTCCAAATTGGGATACGCAATATGCCTTAATTATCTGTAGACAAAAGGGACCTTCTTCTCATGGAGTCCCATGGACCATATATGCCACTGGGTAACAGGCCCTACAGAGCCACTTTCAGACTTGTTTACTCCTACCCACACGAGTGCTTGTTATAACAAATAACCCTACAATCCGGCAATCTACCTTTACAACAAATAATCCTACAATTAAACACATCATCCAAAAGGTGGCTGAATATGACTTGCAAACGGAATAAAAAATACAGTAGTCCCCCTTATCTGAGGTTTTAGTTACCTGAGGTCAACTGCAGTCCAAAAATATTAAATGGAAAATTCCAGACATAAACAATTCATAAATTTTACATTGCACACCTTTCTGAGGAGCGTGATGAAATCTCGTGCCATCACACACCTTCCCGCTCCGTCCCACCCGGGACGTGAATCACCCCTTTGTGTAGCGTGTCCATGCTGTATGCGCTCCCTGACTGTTAGTCACTTAGTAGCCAGCTCAGTTATTAGATTAACTGTTATGGCATCAAAGTGCTTGTGTGCAAGTAACCCTTATTTTACTTAATAATGGCCCCAAAACATAAAGAATAGTGATGCCAGCAGTTCGGATATGCTGAAGAGAAGCTTCTCTTAAGAGGAGCTGCATAGTGCCTTCTTTAAGTGAAAAGGTATGTACGTATGGGAAAAAAACCCCACAGTATATCTAGGGTTTGGTACTATCCACACTTTCAGGCATTGATTGGGGGTCTTGGAAAATACACCTTCGGACAAGGCGGGGGACTACTACATGCATCTGAAGTAATCTTTTGTTAAAGTAAAGAAAGAAGCAATAACAGAACCCTCTTGGTTTATACAATAATCTGTCACAGTAATTTTACAAAGATCCTGTGGTAGGGAGAATAATGGCCCACCACTTCCACCCTATCCCACAAAACAGTCATGTCTTAGTCACTGGAACCCGCGAATGTTTCCTTACATGGTAAAAAGGATTAAGGCTACCCATGGATTTCAGGCTACTCATCAGCTGACTTTAAAATTGGTAGATTATCCTGGGTTATTTAGTTGGGCTCAATGGGCTCAATATAATCACACAGATCCTTAAAAGTGGAAGAGGGAGGCAGAAGATGAGCGTTAGAGGGAGAAGAGACCTTAGAAGAAAGGTGCAGATGATGCAAGGCGAGGACCTGACAGGCTGTTGCTGGCTGTAAAGATGGAGGAAGGGAGACACAAGCCTCGGAATGGGGATGGCCTCCAGCTGACAGAAATGGCAAGGAAACAGATTCTTCCTCAGAGTCTGTCTACACTTTGATTATAGCCTAGTGATACCCGAGTTGGACTTAAAATGTACAGAATTTTAAGAATAACTCTGTGTTGCTTTAAGCCACTACCTTTGTGGTAACTTGTTACAGCAGCCATGAAAATGAATATAGACCCCCAAATGATACTAATAACAACAATAAAAAAAACAACAACTATAAAAGTTTCAGGTCAATTGGATGAGCTCAGTAAGCTGTCTCTAATATATTTCCAATAGGTATTTCCAGTGAGTTTTGTTTTTTATTGATGATGTAATAAGACTAAATATAACATAAACCTATAGGTGCTGGTTCAAAGAATTTTATTGGAGTGTACTTCAAGCATCATAGCTTTTGTCTCTGTTCATTTTCCTTACTGTCTCACAATGATGTAATGGCTGTAAAGAAGATAAAAATCTTTGCATTATGCTCTGATGTGAATTTTAAAAGAATATAAGCTTTTCCATGCTATATAAGCTTAGGTTAAAGATTATGCTTCTTTTTCATATGTAAAATACCAATGAAAATATTTTTTAGTTATTTCTTGAACTCTTTTTAGATGGGATGATGGTTTGATGATTGGACAAGAGAGACCTTTTTGTAATATTTAACAATTACTTACAGAAAGCAAGAAAAAAAATCCTACTGTCAGAGTATACATACTTCTGTGAACTGAAAATATTTACTCAAAGTTCAAAAGTCTGAGTTCACCTGTGGTTAAAGGTAGGTGTGTGATGCTGTTCAAACAGGTCAGGGTGAACCATGTGGATGATAGCGTAGCCCCAGAAAATAGGAGGAGAAGAATTAGTTTCAGCATACCCCTGATAAAATCTGCAAACCTGAAAAGAAACAACATTCTATTAATTCTAGCTGAATTTTTAAAATACTACTTAAATCAATGACACACTTTCATTTAATGATAATTTCTTGAAATTTCCACACATCCTTTTAAAAGCAAGTTTTTCAATTTTTTTAACTGATACATTTTATGTGATATACATTACTTTGTGATAAATGTTTTTTTTCTCTTATAACACACAAAACATGATCTCTGTTTAGGATCTATAACTTACAGGATAGACTCTAAGTTTTTATATGCCGCTTTTACTTTCGTTGTGTTTTCCTATAATTTCCAAACATCCTACAATGAGTTGACATTGTTCTATTGTAGTTTTAGAAAATAGACTAACTTGTTGACATAAACCTGCAAAGATGGCTCTTCCAAAATTCATACTCAGGGAACACACACAAATGCTTACCCTGTCGTTTTTGGGGTCCTGTATGATCTGGTCTCTGCCTCCACTCTCTCTTTGCTTTCCTATGCTCCAGGGGGACAGGCTGTTTTTGTTTTCTGTATGTACTAAGGTTGTTTCCCACTGTAGTGGACTTGTGCTGTCTGCCTGAAATGCTGGCACCCCCATTCTTCACATGACTTACACCTGCTGTTTCTCAGGTCATTCAGGTCACAGTTCAAGGCTCACTGAAGAAACCCTCCCCATCCCACCTCCACACTCTTTACTTTCTTCATACCACTTGTCTCCATTGGAATTGCTTCTGTTTTTGCATTTGTTTATTTTTTGTCTCCCTTATCAGACTGTAAGATTTGTGAGAGCAAGAACATAGCTTTGGAATAGTAACTACTATTCTTCAAAGCTTGTGACTACTGTTTCATAGCATTTTAAATTCTTAAAATCCCTGCTTTTTTCCTGAATTAACATGAAACTAAAAGGAATCTGGTAGAGATGCTTATCATTTAGTTATGGCCAAAAACTTTTCCATTTGCTAATTACTTTTCCTGTCTGCTGATTAACTGTTGATTGTATAGGTTCAATCCTCTGACTGTGCCTTTATACAACTTACTCTCCTTTAGAATTGTTCCTATTGTAGAAAAACAGATACCGTCTCACATATGACATTTACCATGTTTTCTCTTTGATATTTTTAAAAATTGATTTTAATTTGTGTGGTAATTATGTGACTGTCCTTTGTAACAATTTAAATACTATCTTTTGTTTTGTACTTATTTGACGTGATATAATTAATCATGTTTGTAAGTGTTATCTAGACTAAAATGACTTCCTATGAGAGCTGATGCCATCTTTTGGTGGAAAAAATGGATGCACCTTTGCCCAGTGACTTAGGTTTGTTCTCAACTATGAAAGTTCAAAGGCAGAAAATTATTATTTTGAAAATTCTGAAAAAGGTTCCACAGCTTGATAGAAATGTCCCTCAAGAAAATCTAAAAGACTTTGTTTTAATTCCACGCTCACCAATCACTTTTCTGATTTATATTTTGGTATGCTGCTTACTTTGTATGCTGCTATCAACTTACTTGTCAGATAGGCAGATGGCCAGGTGTGAGAGAATAAAACAGTTTTCTGGGACAATCAGAGTTGAGTGACGTTTAACAGTGAGAAAGTTTGACGGGGCTCGGTCACCCAAGAATAAAGCGGCCATTGAGGTCTGCTATTTTTGGAGATCTACACCTTTCAAATGGGCTAATACCATCAAAGTATGCTGTGCATTTAGTAGTGACATTTAGCAACATAATCACAAAAAGATTACCCAAAGCGCTCACGTTTATAAAGAGGTTCTGTTCTAGAGATCTCCAAAATGGAGTTATTCATGTAATTTAAAATTTTCTTTTAGGCCTAGGTGATACCTAAAATCGATTTCAAATCCCAGGGTAAGGGCAGCACTTTTAAGAACTCCCATTTCAACAAATTAAAACCACAAACGTCCTCAGTCTGATTGTCCCCTCTAGTTCTGTTTCTATAGTTAAAGTTAAGGGTTTATAGAAAGAAAACAAAGAGAAAGGAGATGTCATTTCTGATATATAATGGTTCCCCCTCTGACTCATTTGGTGCTCAGAATAGAATTTGGTAAATGATGACTCTCTAATTGGCTTAGAGATTTAATTAGAAAAAATTAGGTATGATTCTTGTCAAATGTGAGAGGTCAATGTATTTCAGTATCAGTGTAATTATTTGCTACAAATAGCTATCTTCTTGTTCCTCTTCTTTAGCTTTTAGGTTTTATTCTTTTATTTTCCTAACTTATGAAAACCTCAGATAAAATGATTTAGCAATTACAGCATCAATTTATTCTTTCATCATCCTAGAAACTATATGCAAATTTTAAGGTCTAGATATATTATCCTGTGTCAATTATGCTTAAGTATTTAGATATTGAGGTGATTTACCTACCTATCTTATTTGATCTCCCTAAATATGTAATTAGATTCTTCCTTTTCTGGTAAAGTTGATTGCTTAATTTTGTTTTTGATTAAACAATAAAATGATTTGGGAAGTGAATGAATGTTATTTCTTTGGAAACACGGAGAGTAAGTTTATAGGCAGTCTCCTACATGAGTGACATTTTCATTCTTTTCCTTTTTTAGAATGACACTTTTTCTTTCTTCTGACTCATTCTAAAAATGTGTTGTCATAATGTGTTAAGATCATACATAGGCAGTTTGATGAAACTGGAAGTCTTTATGGACTTTTTTCATCAAAATGGAATAACCATAGGGATATACCTGCCAAAAACAGACCAAAAATAAATCTATCTACTAATCAGGATCCTGCCTTTCCATGGGAAGTTCTAGACATGCTCTTACAAATGATTCTTTTCTGTTCTCGATAACTGTCAATTTGCCTTTATTACTGTATCACCTTTCCTTGGGTTTAATTTATAGATGTTGTTCTCTGCTAATATGGAGGAAGGCAGCTTAATTACACTGGAAATACATCTTCAGTCCCCAAAAACACTTCAGGACAGACCATTCATGAGAAAGTTTCTCATAGCAGCAAATTCTACCTATTACATGTCAATTTTCTTGTAGCCCGAACAAGTGCCCTTCTGTGACCTTCGCCTGTTTTACTTTTCCGTGAACTTTAAAGTTTATTTCAGGGAGCTGATTGCCCTTTTGGACTTTGTTTTTGCCACTCTCATGTTTAACATAAAATATTTTTACCTTGCCATAGCTATTCCAACAACACAGCCTCCAACTATGGACCAAAATCCAATCCAGCCAGCATCTACCTGTTAAGAAAGTGGCAGACACATTTAATTCAAGACCATCATGTTGCAATTTAGAAGGCATAAAAAAAAATCCTCTATAATCAATATGTTAATGGCTAAATGGCAACACATCTACTAATACTATTTAAGAAAATGAATCAAATTAAAGGATTCATGTGTGACTAAGTAAAACAAACTTATCTAAGTAAATATATCCTTGAATAACTTATTGAAATATTTAAATCAACAAAATAATCAACGTCACAACAAATATTTTTCAAATATGTTCTACATGCCTAGCATTATACTAAGAACTCGTTAACAGGAAAAGGATAAACAATAATCATTGACCTCAGAAGTTTAAATAGCCAACATACAGAAAACTACTAAGAAATAATTGTTAAAACATTTGGCAACAACTGAAAATATATTAACAGAACATAGATGGAGGGGAGCAACGTGGGGTTGAGGGCTGAGCACTTGGGGAGACTGGATAGAGAAAGAGATTTGAACTGAGTTTCAAATGTATAGCATGCTCTATTCTTGAGAAAATATTTCCGGCCCTGTCATGTACTAGCTTTGTGATTCTGGGCAAATTATATCTTCTTACCTATAAAATGGACTAAATGAGATAATTTCTGTACAGATCTTAGATCAGTGGTTGGCATACAGGAAGTGTTCAATAAAGGTTGGAGCTATTATTCCTGATGATGCTTCTCCATCTATCTAATGAAGTCATAACTCTTTCCCACCTTCATGGCCAATCTTATTCCGAGCTATCTACAAATGCTACCTTTATTTTCTCATCACACACGTATCTTTAACTCTTATCATGACTTGGCTTCTGTCTCAACTCACAGTCTAAGTCTCAGTTTTCTCATTAGTAGAATGGGGAAAATAAAGATTTTTTGTGAGACTTAAATGAATTAATAAATATAAAGTGCTCAATACATGTTAGGTGTTGTTACCACTGAAATTCCATGTGTCCCTAACAATATTGGTGCATTTTGTCTCCTCTCTTCCCTTCCCATGTCCACCACACTTGCTTATTATCTTATTTCTTACTCTGGACTCCTAAAATAGCATCATAAATGGTCTCCACAATCTATTCTTCCCACCATTGCCAGAACAATTATTCCAATCATTCCACTTTCCTGCTCAGGAAGTTACTGGCTTCCTTGAGGCTATAGGGTAAAGTTCAAACTTGACCTGGCACTTGAGTGAGAGCTGACTAAACTAACTTCTACCTCTTATTTTTCTAGTCATATTTTTTCATTATACCTGTGACAGAGATTGTCAGCTGTCCACCAAAGTATGTTATTGGGCACTTAACCAGATTACATGTCCCAGCCCCTAGTCAGTTACATGTGACTACGTGACTAAGCTCTCATCAATGGAAGGAAGTGGGCAGAAGTGAGGTGTGCCACCTCTAGGCTAGATAGAACCTGGTACACAGTTGTATGCCTTCCTCCATGCTTTCTTTTCCTCTCTGCCAGCTGAATCTGGATATAATCATCCAGCTTCACCCATGCATATAATGACAAGGTTCTAGGAGACAGAAGAGCTGCCAAGTGGAAGTAGTCTAGGTTTCTAAATCAGTGTATGGAAAAGAACTGTCCAAACGATGGACAACTGTCCTAGACTATTATGCAAACTGTCCTGGATTGCTATGTGAATGAGAAATAGATTTCTTCTTAAGTCTCAGAAGTTTGGGATTCTACGTCTTAAAGCAGCTTAGCATACTCTAAGAGATATAACTTTACACAAGTCCTTTATTCTACCAGTGTTTGGTGCCAGAAACAAAGATAAAAGCTCTTTGGAGAAAGAGAACATCCTGAAGCTTAAGTTATCTCTACATATTTTTATACTATTGGCATTTGGGCAAGAGAATCCTCTATTCTACAGGGATGCCCCTCTCATGGCAGAGCATTTAGCATCCAATGTCTAAGGCCCACTTAATACTGTTAGATGCTCACAAATATTTCCATCTATCCCCTAGGTGAGTGGGGTTCTGTGCCAAACTAAGAACCACTATGCATCTGACTGTATAGATCCTGGTGCTTTCAGGCTATTTTGTGCTTTTCTGCTTCCTTTGTTCATAACATTTACTTTAGTTAATAACATTCTACTCAATAACTAAAATTTTTTGCTTTAATATTTTTGCTTTCATTTAATTTTAAATTTCTTTATTTAATAGTCGGTATGACTCACAATGTCTATACCTCTCAGAGTTTGTGCAGACAGAGATACTTGGTTTATAAGATGAAGCATATAAAAATCTGCAAAGTCAGAATTATTTAAATAGGTGCTGCACTTTTCCTTCTTGAAATTGTGAATGCTTGGAATCCCTGCCATCCAGAAAAACAATACCAATTTGGTATTGGTACAAAGGCAGACAAATAGATCAGAGGAAAAAATAGTTTAGAAACACATCCATGCACAAAGATGATACTAGAGAGCAATGGGGAAAGCATGATCTTATGAAATATTGATATTAGGTTAATGGATATTTATATTGGGGGGGAAAAAACTTAACCCCTACCCTATAACAAGCATAAAATTCAATTCTGGGTTTAAATGTGACAGGAATAACAATAAAGTTTTGTTATAATGATAGAACAGCACTGTCCAATAGAACTTTTCTGTGATGCCAGTAATGTAATATATATGCACTGTCCAATATGGTAGCCAAGAAGGTGCAAGTAGTTACTGAGCACTTGAAAAGTGGCTGGTGCCACTGAGGAAGTGAATTTTTAACTTTTATCTCATTTCAACTAATTAAAATTTCAAATTAAATAGCCATATGTTGCTAGTGGCTACTGTACTGCTCAATGCGGTTTTACAAGATAACATAGGGGGATATATTCATGAACTTGGAGCACGCAAAGATTTTGCATGCTCTCTTTTGCATTACATCCCTGTTTGCTAAACCCAACATCTAGACTATCTCCGAGTTGCTTTCTATTGACTTTTTTGTTTGTTTAAATATGGGTCACATTTTCCTGTTTCTTTGTATGTCTAAACGCTTTGGCATTTTAAAAAATTGTACAGTATACAAGTACTGACAATTAAGTTCGCGAACTTGTTGCAACGATGTTGCTAACCTTTTTTTGATATTAGAGGGATTTTTTATTATGAATTTGTACCAACTGGACAGTTAACCAAGTTTACTATTTGGAAGTGCTGAAAAGGCTGCGTGAAAAAGTTAGACGAAAATGGCCTGAACTTTTTGCCAACAATTCATGGCTCTTGTATCACGACAATGCACCAGCACACATGGCACTGTCTGTGAGAGAGTTTTTAGCCAGTAAACAAATAACTGTTATGGAACACCCTCCCTACTCACCTGATCTGGCCCCCAGTGACTTCTTTCTCACCAGAAGATAAAGGAAATATTGAAAGGAAGACATTTTGATGACATTCAGGACATCAAGGGTACTATGACAACAGCTCTGATGGCCATTCCAGAAAAAGAGTTCCAAAATTGTTTTGAAGGTTGGACTAGGTGCTGGCATCAGTGCACAGCTTCCCAAAGGGGAGTACTTCAAAGATGACTGCAGTGATATTCAGCAATGAGGTATGTGGCACTTTTTTTAGGATGAGTTCATGAACTTAATTGTCTGACCTCGTACAATGGAATATCATACTGGTATACTGGATTTCTTCCATTTGCCCCTCCAAATCTCTCTCCACCCCTTTCTACCATGCTATCTGGAAGCAAGGAGAAGGAATGAATGTATCAAGCATGTAGGTGAAACAATTATTTTTAAAGAAATGAGATACTCTTATTCTGAGACTGCAGAGAAAGTGAGAAATAAGATGTAGGAAAAGCCATATATTTGATGATATGACCTTAATGTTCTTTATAAAGTATGAAGTAAGGATAAATGATGGAGTCAAAAAAACTAAGATTTTTCTTATTTTTCTGTTTATTAGCATCATTAATAACCCATAAATAAATGTGAAATTCATGACTATTAACAAAACCCAGGAAGAAACTCAATATTGTTTATAACTATTTCATAAAGATCTTGTTTTTGCAACAACGGTATAGAATACTGTTTTTTCCAGGCCTGAAAGGTAAAACCAAGAACATGTAGACAATATTTATAATTTAAATGAACTAAAAATACCTATAACATATAAAGAATTAAAATGCTTACTTGGCTGACATGCACTGGTGTTAAAATTAAGTCCAGAACTCCAGACCAGCCAGCAAATACACCAAGTGGTATTGCATATGCTAACGCAATCATCAAAAATCTCAAATTGCTGTAAAAAAGAAGTAAAAGAAAACATTATTACAGATTCAAAAATCTAGAATTTAAACTCTTACTCATGAAAAATGTCATTTGGAAATTAGAACATTAGAATCCAAAATAAAAAATATTTGTCAGTTTGTTAATACAAAGTTCTTTAAACTTTATTTTTATAAAATAGTCTTTTTGCTTATATTGTTTAAAATTGTCAGTGTTTATTACATACATGAATTACCAACATTATTTCATAGAATGAGTAGGTAGGTTCAGTTAAAAAAACAAACAAACACTCTTATTTGAAAGGATAAATTACTGTTTCTTAGGTGGGTACTAGACTTACTGGGGTGATCACTTTGTAAGTTATATAAAGGTCTAATCACTATGTTGTACACCTGAAACTATTATAATATTGCATTTCAACTGTGATAGAAAATAAAACTAGTCAAATGTTATAAAAACATTACTGTTTCTCCTTATAAACAAGGTATAGAGAAAAAACAAAGACTAAAAACAAATATATAATTTACTAGTTTTATCATTTTCAGAGAGTAGCTTTAATTTTTAGTCTATTATTATTTGCCTTCCTATTATTTAATAGGCAATATAATCCAAATGGTTAAAAAACAAACAAGTATAAAAATATAGGCAAAACGTCTCCCTTTTACCACAATCACCCTTGTCCCACAATTATCAATGTTATTACTTTCTTGGGTAACTTCCCAGAAATATTTCAAAATATACAAGCCTATACAAATACATACATACATACATACATATATATTTTTTTCTTTACCAATTCTTTTTACAGAAATGGTAGCATATTACAACCACTTGCTGAGTTTACCTTTTTAACTTAGGTCTTAACGTTCTTCCTTAGTCAGTACATGCAGAGCTTCCTCATTCTTTTTTACAGCTGCATAGTATTCCATTATTTTGGTATATCACAATTTATTTAACCAGCCCCTACTGAGATATAGATGTATAATTTTATATATTTTATATAATATATAGTTTATATGTTTATATATTATACATAATATAATTTTACTCCTTTGCTCTTACAGCCATTCCACATGTGCCCTAGGACACTTGGAGAATCGGTTTCTAGAAGTGCAACTGCCATGGCATACATTATGTGCATCTGTAACTTTAATAAGTAACGCCAATTGCCTTCTACAGAAATTGTACCTCTACATACCTATTAAAATGGCAAAAATAAAAACACAGTGATAACAAAATCTGGTGAAGATGCAAGGGAACTGGATGATTTGTATATTGCTAGTGGTAATGAAAAGCGGTACAGCCACTCTGGAACATGGCATTGAAAAATAAATGAAATATTCAACTACCATACAATTAATCAATTTCACTCCTGGGTATTTATCCCAGACACATGAAAACTGTGTTCACACAAAAAAAACTGTGTGAAACAAATATTTACAGCAGCTTTATTTGTAACAGCCAAGAAAACTACAAACAACTCAAGACGTCCTTCAACAGGTGAATGGTTAAACAAACTGTACACGAATACCATGGAGTACTACTCAGCAATAAAAAGGAATGACTATTGATACACAAAACAACCTGGATGACTCGCTAGACAATTATGTTGGGTGAAAAAGCCAACCCCCAAATTTTATGTACTATATGACTCCAGTTATATAACATTTTTGAAGTGACAACACTATAGTAATGAGAACAGATTTGTGTTTGTCAGGGTTAAGGAATAGAGTGGGAGGGAAGCAGGTATGGTAAAAGGAGTGATCCTTGTGATGATGGAAAGGTTCTGTATTTTGACTGTATCCATGTCCATATCCTGGTTCTGACATTACGCTATAGTTTTAAAAGATGTGATCATTGGGGGAAGCTGCGTTAAGAGTCAATGTCATCTCTCTGGATTATTTCTTGTATCTGCATGTGAATCTACAATTATCTCACAATAATAAGTTTGATTTTGGCCGGCCGAGTGGCGCGATGGTTAAGAACTGGCTTGGGACGCCAGAGGGCCCCGGTTCGGATCCCACATATGAGGGCCAGTGACACTGCCCTCTACAGCTAAGATGCTGAACAACAGCTCAACCTGGAGCTGGGCTGCCTTGAGTGGCTGGCGACGGCGTAGGCTGCAGCCTCTGCTGCAGTGGGTTGCCATGGGCTACTGTATGTAGCCAGCAGCCGCAGTGAGCGGCCAGCGACTGATCTGCCTCGCCCGGGAAGAGCGCAATGATGGTGCCAACTTGGGCCAGTGAAGCAACGTCCTCCACAACTAGACTGAAGAACAAAACAACAGCAACTTGTCTGTTCCCCTTCCCCCAATTCCCCAGCACTGTTCCCATCCCCCCAATATCCCAATTAAAAAAAAAAAGTTAGATTTAAAAAAATGTAATTAAAAGTAGGTATCATTCACAATAGCTTTAAAAAGTTTTAAACTATAAAGTATCTAGGAATAAACCAGGAAGGACCAAACCTCTATGGGGGGAAATAAAAAGAAGCAAGTCTTAATCTAATTAAGAGAACAAAAGATGATCTAAATAAATAGATGGAGAGACAGTCCATGTTGTAAATTCACTTCAAATTAATCTATAAATTCAGTGCAATCACAATTAAAATTCCAGTTGTTTTTTTTTCAAGAGCTATACTCTAAAGTTTATATGGAAGAATAAAAGTCCTTGGAAAGCAAAGTCATCCTTAAAAAAATATGAAAAAGGAGGTCTTTGTCCTATCAGATATTAAGCCAAACTGCATAGCTAAAGTAATAAAAATACTTTGAACAAAGAGAATAATGGAGGAAAATAGACAGTTAAGATACAGAAATTCAATATACAAGAAAGGTGGCATTACAAATGAATTGTTTAGCAAATGGTACTAGTTCATTTCATGGAGAAAAAAATAAAAACAAATCTGCATCACTAGTTAACACCACATACTAATGGAAATTCTAGGTAGGCTGAAAACCTAAATGAGAAAGATAAAACCAGAAAGTTGATAACTAAGGAATTCATGGACAAAATTAGCAGGCAGAATGGGACTATATATTTGAATTTTTAAAATTTTAAATCAACAAGGAATTTATACCTAGGATATGTAAATCATTAAGAAAATGATAGAAACCACTCTTAAGAAATGGGCAGAAACTATGAAGAGGAATTTATAGTAGGTAAAACCAAAAGGCAAACAATCACATAATGAGAGTTGCAAATTTATTAATAACCAGGAAATGCAAACTAAAAGATATATTAGTTTATACCTATTAGACTAGCAAAAATTAGAAAGATGGATAATACCAAGTTTGGGTGGGCCTATAGGGAAATGGGCACTGCTGATGGAAGTATAGATAAGTGCAGGCATTTTTGAGAGCAATCTGGCAACACTTGGCAAATTAAGCTTACCGTATCTTATGACCCAGCAATCCTGTTGTGGTGTCTATTTTCCAAAGAAATTCTGAGGACTACTATGATGCATGAGGACTATGATGCATGAGGATGTCACTGAAGTAGTATTTGTGGTGACAATGAATTGACAATGTGGTTTCACAGTGAGAGTGGGGAGATAAAATGTGATGGAGTACAAAGAACTAGTTGTTGTTGCATCTTGAAAACGGGGTGCTCATATCACAAAAGGAGAGTTATCTAGATACGACAGGCCTCCAGGTGGAAGAAAGAGCATCACTTAAGTAGTCGTGCAAAACCAAAGCCAAAGCAAAAACAAACACCTGAATCGGAACATACGAGTAGCCCTGGATAATAACTTACGGGATATATAAAGGGCAGAAAAATATGGCAAACTATACCACAAGGAGGCAGTCAACAAAATCTAGACCTTGGGGACAAAAGAGATGGCTCCTTGACAAATAAATTACAAGGGAAAAAGAGAGGGTTGGAAAGGAAACCTATAGATTGTAATGGATTTGAGCCAATTGGAATGCATAGAGACAATCTGGATTTTCATTCAAACTACTTGTTAAAAAAACATTTATTAGGGGCTGGCCGAGTGGCGCGATGGTTAAGAACTGGCTTGGGACGTCAGAGTGCCCCGGTTCGGATCCCACATGAGGGCCAGTGACACTGCCCTCTACAGCTAAGATGCTGAACAACAGCTCAACCTGGAGCTGGGCTGCTGAGAGTCGCCGGCAACGGAGTAGGCTGCCGCCCCTGCTGCAGTGGGCTGCCATGGGCTACCGTGTGTAGCCGGCGGCCAGTGTGAGGGCCAGCAGCCGCAGTGAGCAGTCGTCCAGAAGCCCGTGACTGATGTGCCTTGCCTGGGAAGAGTGCAATGATGGTGCCAACTTGGGCCAGTGAAGCAACGTTCTCCATCCATGACTAGACTGAAGAACAAAAGGACAGCAACTTGTCTGTTCCCCTTCCCCCAATTCCCCAGCGCTGTCCCCATCCCCCCAATTCCCCAATAAAAAATAAAAAAAATAAAAAAAAATAAAAACAAAACAAAACATTTATGACATTTATGAGACAATTGGAAATTGAAACACTGATTTGCTATTAGCAAACTATTGTTAAAAAGGTTTCAGGTGTGATAATTGTACTATATTTATGTTAAAAACATAGGGATTCTTTAATATATATTATTCATATTGAAGTATTTATGGATGAAATCATTTGTCATCCGGGATTTGCTTCATGATACAGGAAGGGGGCAGTGGGTAAAGTAGAGATGAAACAATATTAGCTATAAATAGGCAATTGTTAATATTGGATTGTGGGGATTTGAAGGTTATACTATTCTAACTTTGCATATTTCTATAAATTTCCAAAATGAAAAGTTATAAAAAACCAGTGTTTAGCAAAAAACGTTCAAACAGAATGAGATACATAATGTGCCATCGTTTAGATAAATTAAACATAGATGCATACAAAACACATATTGCAAAAGCACACAGACAGATATACATTAAATGCATTTGAGAAGTGGCCTGGGTAGAGGAATGGGAGTGAGAAATATAAAAAAATGAACGACTGAATAAATAAATAAATGTGTTCATGTGTCCTAAGTAAGGAACATGTTCAACTCAACTCTCCCCTCTTAAAGTTTAAAAAGCAAAAACAATGACCACTATCATCAAACATTACACCAATATATAAAGGGAGAGAGATGTTTACATTAGGTTTTACACAGGGTAAACACATGTAAGAGATGGGAATCATGTGAATAGTAAATAAATAATTGTGGTGGAAACTTTGGCACATAACCATTGATGTTTTTCTCCCAGATAATGGAATTAGAATCTAGAAAAGCAGTTATTCCAATTGATCCAGGAAGTTATGATTTCAGAGGTTCTTTGAAGGACCAGAGAAGATTACATTGGGAGATTAGGGGAACCTGGCATGGCAGGCCCAAAGAACTCCCCTGGCCAGCCCAAAGGTAAAAGCAAGCAATCTTGCAGAGTAAACAGATGAATATGAGAAGAGGCAAAGGAATGCTAGGCATTATCTATTTCTATCTAATCTCTGGCTTGGCATAAAGAAAAACTTAAATAACATTTAAAAAAAAACCTATTTTAACTGTCATCTTATAAATGTGTGCCACTGATAATAATTCAGTTTGACTAATACTTTTTCTTTGCCTATTATGTAGAAGGCAATGTACCAGATGCTGTAAAGGTGTGGTTTTCAAAAACTTTTTACTATACTCCAGAGTAAGAAATGTATTTTTAGGGCTGGCCGAGTGGCGCCTTGGTTAAGAGCTGGCTTGGGACGCCAGAGGACCCCTGTTCGGATCCCACATATGAGGGCCAGTGACACTGCCCTCTACAGCTAAGATGCTGAACAACAGCTCAACCTGGAGCTGGGCTGCTGTGAGTCGCTGGCGACAGCGTAGGCTGCAGCCCCTGTGGCAGTGGGTTGCCATGGGCTACCGTGTGTAGCCAGCAGCCAGCTTGAGCGGCCAGCAGCCGGAGTGAACAGAAGCCGGTGACTGATCTGCCTCGCCCAGGAAGAGCGCAATGATGGTGCCAACTTGGGCCAGTGAAGCAACGTCCTCCACAACTAGACTGAAGAACAAAAGGACAGCAACTTGTCTGTTCCCCTTCCCCCAATTCCCCAGTGCTGTTTCTATCCCCCAATTTCCCAATAAAAATCTTAAAAAATATATATATATATATATATATTTATTTTGTGAGCTACCCATACATACATATAGACTGAAACGAAAGTCTGACAAAAAATATGCATCATTACTACAAGTGATGCAGTAATGTTTTCTATTCTATTTCATTCCATTCTATGTTGTGCTTTTTTTTAAAAAGTGGTCAAACTACTAAATTAGCTGGGTGAGAACCAAAGTTTGAAAATAATGTTACATAGTTATGCTAACATGGTAGCCACTAGCCAGATGTGGCTCTTGAACATTTGAAATGTGACTAGTGCAACTGAAGAACTAATTTTTAATTTTATTTCATTTTAATTAATTGAAATAAAAAATTAAAAACAGAAGCAGTGAAAAGTACTTTTCCATTAAATACAACTTAATTTTTTCAGTAGAGCTGTAATTTACTTTAACTGCTGCTCTGGGTAAGATATTAAGAGTGTCACGTTGTAGCATGTGTTGTTTCTAGTATTATAAACTGCCACTGGTCTTCTTGGTGTCAGTGAAGTCAATTCCAAATATTTCTTTTTTTTACATAATGATATAACATTGTAATTTGTTTATTTGAATATTTTATGGAGAAGAAATAAGAGACTGGGAGAAAGTATGCTGCAAATTTCATAATGAATGGCAACTACAATTTGCTGTACATAGCGAAATGATGTCCTTTGTGTAAAAAAAAATTAATATAATTAAGTGATGTTCAACAAATACATGGTGAACTTTATAAGAAGTTTCTTCTCAACAGCAAAAAAAAAAAAAATCAAGAAAATTAATTGCCTAAAATCAGAGAATTAAATGTCCAACAAACATTTTTAAACAATTTTTAACAGATTCGAGCTTATAACTTCAGCTGGCTATAAAACAGTTTGAGTTCCTGCACAAACACAAAACCATTTTTGGATGGAGACATGGTAAAAGTAATTATTTCAATTATGGAAATTTTTTAAAACATTATGAAAAAAAATGTGTTCTACAGAAGTGAAGACAAAAATCTCCAATTAAGGCCCAAACAACTGTCTGTAGAATATAAGACCTTTCAAATAATATCAGAGATGTGCTGATACAAAATTTGAAAAGTTGCAGGTACTTATTTTTAATTTTAGATAAATAGTGAAATATGGGAGACACTGCCCAATTGTTAACTTGATGAAATTTAAATGCAGACCAAGTATTTCTAATGAAAATTTAGCATCTGACTTGTGATATAAGTGTAAATTACACACTGGATTTTAAAGAGTTTGTATGAATAAAATAATGTAAAATATCTCATTAATAATTTTGAATTTGGATTACATGTTAAAATAGTATTTTAGATATACTGGATTAAATAAAATATGGTATTAAAATTAATTTTACCTGTTTCTTTTTACTTTTTTTAATGAAGCTACTAGAAAATTAAAAATTACCTATTATGTGTCTCATACTATATTCCTATTAGACAATATTACTACATGGGACACAAAAACACACTTCTTGACCACAGGAACTTACCATCTGGTAGGAGAGGAAGACTGGGAAAGAACCAATTAGAGAGAGTTGCTAATGAATCACTAAAAACTCATCACAACTAATTGGGGAAAAAATTCAAAGGATAAGTTATAGTGGCCCAGTTGCAAAACATAATTAGCAGTAATGGTCTATATATCCAAAGAATTGAATTCAGTACTGGACATTTGAGCCTTCAAGGGCAGAATTTAATCTAATTACATTTAAGTTATACCAATAAAATAGAGTATTGTTTCTCAAAGTATGATCCCACTGGAAGTATGTAAATAAACATTCATTTTATTCACTTTGTATTGACTACACTTATTTTAATGTGTATAAAGAAATACAAAATGAATAAAAAGAATTTACATATTAGAAAAAATATAATAAACACATATAACCCCTGATTTCACAGATACTATGTGATATGTTTCCTTAAAAATAAAACTAAGTAAAAGATTTGATTTTAAAAATACTAAGTAAATAATAGTATAGGTGGTATGTAGAGAAGACAAAAATGATAGGGGTTTTTGTTTTGTATGATTTTTAAGATAGATTTCTGATAAGGAGTCCTTCTAAAGTATTTAATCAGTATTTTATCAATTATTTACAATCTGATTAATAGGTTGCTGAAAAATTACTATCTTAAATTATCTTAAATAAATGTGGGATTACCTTGAAGGTGCTAGTCAGAACACTCAGTGTGGTCCTAAGTACACTTACCTTAATAACCTACAAAAGCTCCGCCGATAACTCAGCCGCTGGCTAGCTGCAGCAACGCTGGGAGGAAGAGGAGGCCGGGGAGGGAAATAAGCTAGAGTTGCAGAAAATAGTAAGCAGACAAGTCCAAATTCTGAAGGAAAAAAGAAAGTAAAATGTTAACCAGGCAACACAAAAAGCTCAATATTTCAAGTATTACTTACTTAACACGTATTTATTGAGCATCAAATAAGCTCCAGGCATAGGTAGACAAGCAAAATACAGTACCTAGCCAAAATAGCTCAGTCTTGTAAGAAAGATGGATATGTAAAGATAAAATTTCAGCAGGCCATCGGTAACAAATGATACTATGGGCAAAGATGTATGGTGTGCTATGGTCGGCTACGTAGACAAAAAGATGGAGGCAGTAAACAAGTGTTACTCTACGGAGAAAATACATTAAAAACCAACAGTACTGAACTATAAGAGATTTTGAAACAGGTATAGGATGATTGTCTAATAAGCATGGTCCTCAGACACCAAGAATTTGATTGAGAAAACTGGTAAGAACAGGACTGGAAGAGGTTTGATCGATGATACAATATTCTGATGTATAGTGCAGGGCAGGCTCAATTTATAGACTATACGGGAAATTTGAACAGAAAAGGAAAGTACCCAAAATAAGAAACCAAGAGACAGAGCAAAATTTATAAACACAAGATTAATTAATGTAGAATGTTAAACAATCAGAACTAAAATGAATATCCAAATAGTCTGAGTTTGGCACCAAAGAAGGGAATGTTCCTAGCAGTCCCAGTCATTCCCTCTAGAGTTCTGACACCTTGAAGTCCCAGTGTTTGGAAACTGCCCTATTTAGTAGAAAAGTCAGGAAGTCTTGAAGTATACCGTATTTCCCCATGTATAAGATGCCCCCATGTATAAGACACACCTTAATTTTGGGGCCTGAAATTTGAAAAAAACGTATTACATAAAGTTATTGAACTCAAGTTTTATTCATCATAAAATTCATACAACTCCGCGTCGCTTGCGGGAAATGCAAGTAAAAAAAACCTACAACCACTGTATAAGATGCACCCAGTTTTTAGACCCCAAGTTTTTCGAAAAAGGGTGCATCTGATACATGGGGAAATATAGTAAATCTGCCTATGCCATTAATTAACTTGGAACTTGAATGAATCCTTACTCTTTCTGTACCAATAAAGGGATTGGACTAGGTTTCTAGAGGTCCTTTCAATAGGATAATTCTAATTCTAGGGCTGTATTCCTACAAGACACTTAACTACATATAATGCCTATCTTTGTCAATCTGAAGAGTAACAAAAAGTTAATTGTTTTAATTTACAGTTTTTTTAATTACTAATAACAATGCGCAACTTCCTAATGCTTACTGGTCGTTTGTATTTCTTCTTCTGTGATTGCCTTGTTCATATTCTTTTCCCATTTTTCTACTGGCATTTTTGTAAACAGCTTGACATATAATTCACATAATATACAATTCACACATTTAAAGGGCAGAATTCAACGGTTTTTAGTATATTCACAGGGTTGTGCAACCATCACAACAATCAATTTTAGAACTTTTTCATCATCCCAGAAATAAACTCTGTATCTATTACCCCCACAAATCTCCAAGCCGTAGGTTACTATGAATCTAGTTTCAGTATTTATGGGTTTGAGTATTATAGACATTTCTTATAAATGGAATCATATAACATGTGATCTTTTGTGATGGGCGTTTTCACTTGGCATAATGTTTTCAGGGTTCATCCATATTGGAGTATATATCAGTACATCATTCTTTTTTTTCCAAATAATATTCCACTGAATGGATATATTTTTTAATCTACTTAGTTGACATTTGGACTGTTTCTACTTTTAGGCTATTATGAATAATGCTAAGATGAACATTCATATACAATTTTTTGCATGAATGTATGTTTTCATCTCACTTGGGGATGTATCTAGAAATGAAATTGCTGGGTTATATGGTAATTTATGTTTAACATTTTGAGGAACTGTCAAACTATTTCCAAAGTGGTATTTTATATTCCTACCAGTAATGTGTAAGGGTTCTAATGTATAATTTCTGGGGTTTTTTTTAAGGTTTTTATTGGGGGATTGGGGGAGGTAAACAGCATTGGGGAATTGGGAATGTTGCTGTCCTTTTGTTCTTCAGTCTAGTTGTGGAGGATGTCGCTTCACTGGCCCATGTTGGTATTGTGATCATTGTGCTCTTCCTGAATGAGGCAGATAGCTCGCTGGCCATTGGACGGCCGCTCACGGTGGCTCATAAAAGCTCACGAAAGCTCACACTCGCTGCCGGCCAGCTCCACTGCAGCCTACGCCGTCGCCAGTGACTCACAGCAGCTCAGCTCCAGGTTGAGCTGTTTTTCACCATCTTAGCTGTAAAGGGTGCAGGATCACTGGCCTTCATGTGAGATCCTAACCGGAGCCCTGCTGCTCAGAGCTGGCGTCCCAAGCCAACTCCTAACCAACGCGCCACTCTGCTGGCCCATTTCTCTGCTTTCTTTTTTTTTTTTTTTTTTAAGCTGAGCCATCCTGCCCCCTGTTGGCAGCTCAGCGGCAGCTCAGCTCAGGCCAGGAATTGAACTGCTGTTGCTAAGAGCTCAAACTCTTTTTTTTTTTTTCCAAAGATTTTTATTGGGGAATTGGGGGATGGGAACAGAGCTGGGGAATTGGGGGAATAGACAAGTTGCTGTCCTTTTTGTGTGTGTGTGTGTGTGTGTTCTTCAGTCTAGTGGTGGAGGACGTTGCTTCACTGGCCCAAGTTTGCACCATCATTGCACTCTTCCCGGGCGAGGCAGATCAATCGCCGGCTCCTGGACAGCAGCTCACTGAGGCTGCTGGCCGCTCACGCTGGCTGCCGGCCACACACGGTAGCCCATGGCCACCCACTGCAGCAGGGGCTGCAGCCTACGTCGCCGGCGACTCACAGCAGCCAAGCTCCAGGTTGAGCTGTTGTTCAGCGTCTTAGCTGTAGAGGGCAGTGTCAATGGCCCTCATATGTGGGATCCGAACTGGGGCCCTCTGGCGTCCCAAGCCAGCTCTTAACCATCTCACCACCTGGCCGGCCCTTGCTTTCTTGACAACACTTATTTCCCATTTTATTGATTATAGCCATCCTTCTGGGTATGAAGTTTATTACATCATGGTTTTGATTTGCATTTCCCTAATGACTAATGACAGTGAGCATCTTTTCATATATTACTGGCCGTTTGTATATCTTCTTTGGATAAATGTCTATTCAGTCCTTTGCATATTTTTAAATTGGGTTATTTTTCTTTTTGTTGTTCAATTATAAGAGTTTTAAAAAAATATGTTCTGAATGAAACTCCCTTATCAGATATATGATTTGCAATTATATTCTCCCATTCTGTGGGTTGTCTTTTCACTTTGTTGATGGTGTACTTTGATGCACAAATGTGTTTAATTTTCATACTACCCAATTTGCCTAATTTTTCTTTTGTTATTTGCGCTTTTGGTGTCCTTTATAAAAAGGCTTTGCCCAACCCAAGGTCATGAAAATTTACTCCTACGTTTTCTTCTGAAGTTTATAGTTTTAGCTCTCACATTTAGGTTTATAATCCATTTTGAGTTAATTTTTGTGTATGGTATAAGGAAGGGGTTCAAATTTATTCTTTTGCATATGAATATCCAGTTATTCCAGTACCTTTTGTTGAACAGATTATTTTTTCCCCAGTGAATTGCCTTGGCACCCTTGTGAAAAGTCAATTGACCATAAATGTAACAGATTATTTTTTGGAATCTAACTTCTCCATTGATTTATATGTCTGTTCTGATGCCAGTACCATGCTGTTTTGATTAGTGTAGTTTTACAGTAAGTTTTGAAAGTGGGAAGTGTGAGTTTTCCAACTCTATTCTTTTTCAAGATTGTTTTGGCTATTTGGGTCCCTTGCATTTCCATATATATTTTAGGATCAGCTTGTCAATTTCTGCAACAAAGGCAGCTGAATATTAATTGAGATTACACTGAATTTGTAGATAAATTTGGGGAATATTCATCTTCACAATATTAAATTTTCCAACACATGAACATGGAAGATTTTCCATTTCTTTAGGTCTTTTTAAATTTCTTTCAACAGTGTTTCATAGTCTTCAGATTTTTATACTTATTTTGTTAAATTTATTCCTAAATATTTTATTCTTTTTTGAGGCTACTGTAAATTGTATTATTTTCCTAATTTCATGTTCAGATTGCTCATTGCTAATGTATAGAAATATAATTGATTTTTATATGTTAATCTTGCATCCTAAAATTTGTTATTTTTAGAATAAACTTCAGGTAACTCTACTTGGCCTCCAAAATCTGGGTTAAGTGCTCCTCCTCTGAGCTGTCAGAGCAATTGTAGGCCTTTGGTTATAGCACTTACCACCCTGTTTTACAACTGTTTGTTTACCTGTCTGTATCCTTTGGGACACTGTAAGTTCTGTGAGGGCAGGAACCATGTTTATCTCAGTGCCTAGCACAGTGACAGATACATAGGAGCTCAAAATAGATTTGTTAAATTAATAAGTGAATAAATGAATACAAAGTTCATTATATAATCTGATCCCTTATCTTTCCAACCTCATTTTCTGCCATATGCTACCTACGCCCAAACACACATATTTACACTACTCTAGCCATACCAAATTATGTGCAGCTCCCTGTATACACTGAGCTCTCTCATACCTTCTCTGTCTTTGCAGTTGCTGTTCCTTCTATACAGAATACCCTAACTCACCTGAACATTTGGTGAACTCCTAATGAAATCCTTAATTTTGTTCAATTACCACATTCTTGGTAAAACCTTTCCTGACTCCTCAACTTTTCTCCAAACCCAGGCCAGTTAGGTCTTCCAAGCTCTGTATATGTCTATTTGTATTATAATTATTTCATCAGTGATCTTACCAATTCCCAGTGCTTAGCACAGTGCTTGGTATACAGTAAACACTTATAAAAAAGGTTTTCTGAATACAGAAGGAAATAACAAACAATCATATGGGGAGACAGAACATATTTAAGAAAATTTGTAGGAAACTAATTAAGAGCGGACTAGGGTTTGGCTCTAGAAATAAAGAGAAAGGATCAAAGAGAATGTCTGGGAAAGATCACTATCCCTTGTTAGTGGACTAAACATACAGAGAGTAGAAAAATGAAGATAACAATACACCTAGGTTTATTAGGTTAGAGAACATGGCCAGTAAAGGGGAAATTGCAAGCAAGAAAACAAGCTTAACACCCACCAACAGCTGCTTAACTACTGTTTATCGTTGATCACGTTTAATTTTATATACTGATAAGATATCTAGAAAAGACACTGAACAATGTGTGACACAGCACTTAATTGTAAATGGATGGGAAAAGTAAAGAAATAACCTTCCATGTAGCACATTTGAAACATAATAACTTCCTAGAAAAGGTAAGTTTCAAGTAGGCTTCTCCATATTAAATGACAAGAAAAGCACATATATGCATATGTTTATATTAGTCCTCTTATATTTCGTAAGATGTGACCTGGAATACAAAAAGCAGAGTGAAGATGACTAGGATGAAAGACGAAGTGTGACAGGAAGAAAATAAACTTCAAAATACCTGCATATAATACAGTCTCTATGCGATCTTTAATGTTGGCCCTGCTATTCTCTGAAGCAAGAAGAGGTGACGTCCCATTGGGAGCTGGAACAAGAAGTGGTCCGACTAAGAACGCACATGCTCCACCAAGGTAACTGAGCATCGATGCAATAGCTGTGGCAGTCGCCCGTTCATCTGCAGAAAACCATGTCGTGGAGAGGAACGGAGCTGCGTTCATTACGGTTGGACCTGCTAGTCCATTTAACATCTGTCCTCCATGGATTAGTCTGGAATCAAACAAATTAAACAAATTAAGAGGCTGTGAGGTAGGTGAAGCATTTTCCAGACGAAAAGATATTAGCCAAATAGCAGTTAACTAGGGCAATAAGAATACATACCTATAAATAATGGGCCATACTTGAAGGGTAATGTATGTTGACTCTCTGTAAGGGAGATCAAATACAGTAATACCTACCCCCTACTCATTTCATAAGTAGTTATTGAAGCCTCTGATTTGTGCCACATACCAAACTAAACGCTTCCAAATAACCTTATTTCATTTGTTATCACAACACTATGTGGAACCTATTATTATCCCCACCTATTGAGATGGGAAAGTCTTGGCTAAGAAAGATTAAGAAATTTGCCCAAGTGCTAACAGCAAAAATGAGATTTAGACCCACGTCTGACTCCAAAATCCATATCCTATGAGATTGCTACTCATAAAGAGACCTAGTAATTGCCACCAGCCCTACAAATAACATAGTTGAGTTCAATATGTCATGCCTACTTTGTGCCAAGAATGGAAATATAAAAAAAGAAAATAGTCATTATGGTATCTTCTAATAGAAAAGGAACTGGTCAAAGAATCAGAGGACATGGTCTGTAACTAACTATCTTTGTGGGATTCCATTTCTTTTCCTGTAAAATGAGCTTAAATTCAATAAGCATGTACTGAACATCTACTGGTTAGGTTAAGGTATCTTTTCTCAGTATTTTACTTAGTGCTTTATCCTGTTTCATACTGACCAAACGCTTTCCCCACATTTCTTCCTCCACCCCTAACATATTCACATTCATGAGTAGCCTTGAAAAAGCCAGAAGCCCAAAAAGCACACACAAGAAAGGGTGGTGAGTCCACCTCTTCTGCCTTGGACGTAGAGGAAGGGGCAGGGACAGTATATGTGACTTATGTGATGCTCACTAGATTTTTGTTTGTTTGTTTGTTTTGCTTTTTAATCACCAGGTGGGTGTCAAATCCTCTTTTTAAACAATTGCCACCCCAAGGTACTTAGAAAAAGTTTCTTGAATGCAGGAGGAAGTAATAAACAGGCATATGAGAAAGAGGTAGGTAGGGCCCCAATATAGAAGCATAAGTGAGTGGGAAGTGAAATATGGGAATTAGGTCTGCTCCCATCCTTGCAATGTTGGAAAAATTATTTGAAGGCAAAAATCACTCCAAGTGTCATTACTAAATAAAGAAAAGTAATGACGTTTTAAAATGTTGTGTGAGAGAACTATTTTCTAGATGACAAAAACAATTTAAACTGTTTATAAACCAAATGTCTCCTTCAAAAGCTAGTGAATCCCAAGCTGTCACAGCAATTTCATCACAGAAATAGTTTTGAAACAATGTCATTAAGTGGCTTTAATCATGACTCTCTTAATCTTGACTCACATGGCACAATAACCAGACAATACATGATAGCTCATAAAGATAACTGCGTTGATATTTAATACTTTTGATGAGGAGTTCCTGAAAGACTCATCTAGAGGCAGAAGGGTTGGAATGAGTACATTTTATTATGCCTAAAAATGTTAAGAGTAGGAGGAGAGCATGGAAGAAACAACCTATCAACAAAACAAAACAAAGCAAAAAACTTGATGAAACAGTACAAATCCTCAGAGTTAAGGTGTAAAACTCAAATTATTGCCATGGCTTAACTCTTTGTTGCTCCTCTGTGGAATTACAAGTAGACTATTTTCCAAGTGGCAAACATAAAAGAGTCATAGAACATGCGAGCTTGTAATAATGTAAGGACCATCCAAGTCCAGTTTACTTAATTCTCAGAGCAAAGTATTTCTCACTACAACGTGATACATATGCTAAAGCAGAATCCAAAGCAGGTATGATACTAGGGACAGTTCTAAGTCTACAAGGTCACTGAATTAGGGGGGCCAACCTAGAATATATGCATTATCACTATGAATAATCATCTCAGGAATTGAAACATGCTGATTTGGTATTTTTAAATTACTCTAATTTAAATAATTATGTGATTTTTGCATTAAAAGCCATCATACACAAATACACTCCTCACAAATGAGCTCTGTAGAACTGAGACCTACAGGATCTTGGGGTCACCCTCTGAATTCATGGGAAACCTCGCAGCAAAGCCCAGCCCTGTTCTTTCCAGCAGCCTTAAGTTTTCCAGAACTTAGTCACGCTCCTTCTCACACTTGTATCTTAAGAGTCCCTCAGGGCTTCGCAATTGCTTATATAACTAGTTATAAGCACTGTTGTCCCAGTAACCATGACATAACACTAATCTGTATTATCAAGATTTTTATGTTTGCCTGATACTATTCTCTATCATTCACCATTAACTCACCCTATTTTATGAAATTAATGTTTGTGAAAATATATTTAAAAATAAAATTCAGTTTTATATATAAAATCTTGTTTTCCCATTTAATGGTAATGCAAAACTAGAAGTATGTTTTTCTGGAAAACTGCTGGCCATAAGACATAATAAAACCATACAAACATTACAATAAACTCTTTATAATAACAATAAGGGAGATAAAATTATTATAAATTGTTCAATACCATCTGTTACTTAACTCCTTCAATAAACACGGACTGATGGGCTAGATGAGTGGCTCAGTTGGTTAAGAGTTAGCTTAAGAGCGTGAGCTCTGAGCAATAGAGTGGCCAGTTCAATTCCCACATGGGCCAGTGATGTTGCACCTGCGCTGAGCTGCCACTGAGCTGCCAACAGGTGGCAGGATGGTTCAGCTGGTGAGAGCACGTGCTCCTAACAACAAGACTGCCTGTTTGATGGTGGGCTACGCCCTCCTGCAACTAAGACTGAACTCAGCACCTTGAGCTGAGCTGCTGCCCAGATGGCTCAGTGGATAGAGCATGTGCTCTTAACAACAAGGCTGCTGGTTCGACTCCTGCATGGGATGGTGGCTACACCCACCTGCAACTAAGATTGTAATACAGCACCTTGAGCTTAGAGACAACTAAGATTGAAGAACAACAATTTAGCTGGCCCCCCTCCCCAACTCCCCAAAACTGTTCCCACTGTCCCCCTCTCCCAATTCCCCAATTTAAAAAAAAATAAAATAAACATGGACTGAGTATTCATCACTGTGTTTTGAGTAAGCACTGTGATAGGCATAAGCATATAGGAAAATAAAAATAAAAAGCTAAAGCCCTTGTCCTTAAGAATCTCTAAAAGTAGTTGAAGCATCACCACCAGCACCACTGTACCAGGAATGCGAAGAAAAGTAAGGCAGTAATTAGTCCTGTCCCTAATGCTTGTGGGGCCTGTGACAATGGAGGTCCCTGTATGTTCTCCGTCTCCTCTCACCTCTGCTCAGGGGCTTCACATGTATGCCAGGGGACCTGAAGGTCCACCTCCATCCAAGCTCCATCTATCCCCTTCCAAACAGCTGCCCCTGGGGCCCAGGGACTACACGCCAGGGATGCAGTCCACTCTCGGAAGAACAGGCCTGGGAAGGGAGACCATTGCAGGAGTTTCTGGGGTCTTGTGCAGCTAGAAGGTGGTGGGGAGGGCGGGTCCACTTCCTTGACCCTACAGACTTCTCAGCCCATGGGAAACAGCAAAACGGAAGGAAAGCCAGAGTGGGACACTTTCAGGCCTGGACCAGGACAAGGACCCTTTGACAGTATTGGCAACAACAGCAGGGCTACCGAGGACAGCATGGTTTGGAGAACTGTTTCTAGCCATACAACAGTTCCGGATAGAAGAATGACTGGAAATTGGGGGGAGGTGCACCCATAACTGTAAAAATGTTCACTAAGTGGATAAATATAGGTCAGAAGCTAAGGAAAGCGGTGAGCTAAGAGATATATGTTGGGGTTGGGAGACAAATGCTGGAAAATACCAATATTTTTTAAATAGAGGGAAAGGAGTCTAGAAAGATGATTGAAAGGGAGCAATTATAAAGACAGGGCAAAAAAAATAAAAGAGGAAAGACAGCCATCATAGCAACTAAAGAGAGAAAGGCATCAAGAAGATGAGAGTGAGTGGTTGATAGTATCGAATCAAACAAAAAGATCATTTAACTGAAATGGATTCTGCAACAAGAAGGTCGTTCATGATCTGAGTAGAAACAGTTTCAGTAGAAGGTTGAAGATGGAAGTCAGTCATGAGGAAATGGAAATTTCAATTTAGACTATTCATTCTAGTAGTTAGAAACAGATGCCAGAACAAAAATTAGGCGACATAAAAAGAAAGAACACTCAGCTTAAATGAATAGTCTGAACTGAACAAGTCTCTCTGCCTTCACTTGTGGGAAGATAAATGCAACTCGTGATAGTCCTAATGCTTTCTAGGCACTCGTGAAGAAGCTGGCTCTCAGATATTAATAGTTATTGATCTGGGCTGACTGTTAAAACTCACACAAAAAAATAAAAGGGGAGTGAGTCACAATTTTCAGGAAAGTGAAGTAAATCATGTAATTTAATGTCTATTGGCCTGTGTCATCATTACATGCTGCAGTTTTGTTTTGCATGTAACAGTTAAGTCCCTTGTGGGGAAGGACCGTGGCTTCTGAATTCCCCACAGTGATTCACGGAGTGCTAGGGCAGAGCGGCTGCTCTCTGGGAACGCGCGGGCCAATTCAATAGAGGGAAGCGGGGTCACTAAAACACACAACTAATCTGCACTTTAACACTTCAGCTACCTAAACACATATACCACTTCAGTTCCGCTTACAAATTTTAAAGTTTAAATTCAGCAATACAAAAAACAAGGTGATTAACAAATATTCTGGAAATAAAGTTTTTAAAAAAACGACATCGAGGGTGGTAAAAGCAAGGGAAAACTTTAGTACTGTCTCAAGCACGCAGACTTGGGAAGGGCAGGCGGAAATTAGGAGTGTAAAGAGGCAGTTTTGTCTTCTGGGCAATGAATGTAGCAGAGAGGGAGCTCTCTGGAAACTGACTAATCTCAGGGGTCTAACTCTTGCTTCCTCACCTGAAACCTCATGCCTGATGAAGACAGGCGTATGTTCACAGTTAGGGGATTGCAAG